ACTCCATTCTCATCTTTCGAAATTTTGAAACCATGAACTATAGGATTTAAAACAGCATTGCATTCTTCCATTTGAAATCTTTTAAGTACATCCCCTGCATACTTCTTCTGGCTAATGAAGATTCCATTTTTCAATTGTTGCACCTCAATACCAAGGAAATACCTCATTTTTCCTAAGTCCGACATATCGAACTCCTTCATCATTGATTTCTTAAACTCCCCCATCATTGATTCGTCATTCCCGGTATATATTAAATCATCAACATATAAACTTACTATCAAAAGTTTACCTTGAATGCGGGTTTTAACGAACAAAGTCTGCTCGCTAGAACACTTCTCAAATCCCTCCCTTAATAAATATGATTCGATGTGACTAAACCAAGCTCGGGGAGCTTGTTTGAGTCCATAGAGAGCTTTTCTGAGCTTGTACACTTTATGAGGTTCATCTTCCTTCACAAAACCAAGGGGCTGCTCTACATAGACATCCTCCATTAACTCGCCGTGTAAAAATGCAGATTTGACGTCAAGTTGATATACCTTCCATTCCTTTTGAGCAGCTATGCAAGAATAATTCTGACAGTGTCCATTCGAGCCACCGGTGCGAAGACTTCAGCATAATCAATTCCATATCGCTGCACATATCCTTTGGAGACCAATCGGGCTTTAAATTTCTCCACCTCACCATGCTCGTTCAGTTTCGTTTTGAAAACCCATTTTACTCCAATCTGCTTTGCACCTTTTGGTAAATCAGTGAGAAACCATGTATTGTTCTTTTCTATGCTCTTGATTTCAACCTCCATAGCTTTCTTCCAATGTTCACTTTTCACAGCTTCTTCAAAATTATCAGGGTCTGAATTTGTACCTACCACAAAATTAATTTCATCATCTGAAAAACCTTTTCCGCTCACATAATCGTTCATCCAGGTAGGTGGCCTCCTGTTTCGTGCTTCTGTATCGGAATGTGAGGAAACTCTGAAAATTGACGGATGTGTTGTTGCATCACTTGTCCCAATTTCATCTTCAAAAACAGCAGCAGTATCATAAAAATTTGGATTTGCAGCCTCCAAGTCACCATCAATTTCATCTTCTTCAGTTATCTCATCTTCACTTTCTCCCCATTCAAGCTCAACAAGTATCTGCTTCTTATAGTTCTTATCCCAATCCCATTTTTTCTTCTCTTCAAACACAACATCTCTGCTGATTACTACCTTCTTTGACACGGGATCATATATTTTGTATCCTTTTGATTCATCGCTAATTCCCAACATAATGCCACTTGTACTTTTGCTTTCCAACTTTGTTCTTTTTGCATCTGGTACATGTATGTGACACACACACCCAAAGACCCTGAGATGTTCAACTGATGGCTTTGCTCCGCTCCAAACTTCTTCTGGGGTTGTATCTTTTAAGGCTGCGGTGGGGCATCGGTTTAGCACGTAAACTGCCCACTTCACTGCTTCAGGCCAAAAAGGTTTTGGAATACCTTTTTCAGACAACATGCTCCTTACACAGTTCATCACGGTACGATTTTTTCTTTCCGCAACTCCGTTTTGCTGAGGAGTGTATGCTGTCGTCAATTGTCTTTTAATTCCATTGTCTTGACAGAAATCATTGAACTCAATAGAGGTGAATTCTCCCCCTCGATCTGTTCGTAGGCATTTGATAGAAAGACCTGTTTCTTTCTCAACAAACATCTTGAATATTTTGAATGCAGCAAATGTATCTGACTTTGCATGCAAAATATACGACCAAACTTTCCGGCTATAATCATCAATCAAGCATAACACATATTTTCTTTCACTATTAGAAATAGGTGAAATCGGACCACACAAATCAGCGTGAATAAGTTCTAACCTTTGTGTTGCTCTCCATGTGCTTCTTTTTGGAATGGGCTCCCTGTGTTGCTTTCCTTTCAAACAGTCTACACAGACTTCATATGAGATTGTCAATTTAGGTAAGCCATGCACCATTTGTTTTCTCTGCAAATTTTGGAGATTTGTGTTGCTGATATGTCCCAATCTGCAGTGCCAGAGGTGTGTGAGGTCCTCACTTGCTGCATTGAAACATACTTCCTGTTTTGGTTGGAGGGACATTGATAGCATCTTGGCTACCAAGATGAACATTCGATTTGCCGTCATTTTGGTTTGAATGATCAAACCTTTCTGTGGATGAAAGATTTTGCACATTCCAGCTTCTATAAGGATGGAAAGACCTCTTTCTTGGAGTTGCCCAATGCTTATAAGATTATTTTTGAGTTCAGGAACACAAAAGACATCACCGACAGTGAAATTAACATCATCAACCTCCATTTTGATGCTTCCTTTGCCAGAAACTTGCATTCTGGTATCGTTGCCCAGCTTCACAGTTTGTTGAGAGACACTTCCAAACTCATAGAATAGAGCTTTGTTACCACACATGTGATTACTACAGCCTGAATCCAAGAACCAAATGTCTTCTCGCTTTGCTCCAATTTCATTTACATATGCCATTAACAACATCTCCTCCTTCTCATCTAGTTCTGCGTAATTTGAATGCTTTTCCAAGGTAGGACATTCATATTGGAAATGACCAAAATTGTGACATCGATAACATTCCACATTAGCTTTGTTTAGATATGTTCTCCCTCTTCCTCAACCTCCTCTAATTTCTCCTCTTCCTCTGCCTCTCCCTCTTGCTGATCTCCCTTCATGAGTCACCTTCAGCAATACTTGTTCTTCTTCGTCAACAGTCTTCATTCTCTGCTCATGGATCAACAAGCTGCTTTGAAGTTCATCAACCGTTAGAGTGTCAACGTTGTTGGATTCTTCAATGGAGCAAACGACATAATTAAACTTTGATACAGGGGATCTGAGAATCTTCCCTGTAATATCCCTTTCTTGTACGATTTCTCCACACGCTTTCATCCGTTTGGCAATGGAAAGAGTTCGCCCGAAATAGGCATTAACAGTCTCTCCCTCCTTTATTCTGAGTATTTCAAACTCAGACTTCAATGTTTGCAATTGAGCCCTCTTCACCCTCGTGGAACCCTTGAACTTTTGTTTCATAGAGTCCCAGATCTGCTTGGAAGTATCATCATTGAGTATGGTCTCCAAGATTTCTCTATCAATTGCTTGATACAAATAATTCTTTATCTTCATATCTTTCAACCGTTGCTCCTCTATCACCTTCATTTGTGCTTCTGTCAATTGAGTGCCTTCTGGAACCGTGTCGATTCCCTTCTCAATTAGAGTCCAATATTCCTTTGCACGAAGGAAATTCTCCATCAATTTTGCCCAGTGCTTATAGTACCCATCAAATTTCGGAATTGCCGGTTGCACGAACTTCCCGTTGATATTGCTACTTTCAGCCATCTTAGCTCTTTCGTAGTAATAATATTCCTCTCACTCAGTGTTTCACTCTTTTCTGAAGCTTTCTGTCAGGCCCTAATCGTTGAGCTCTGATGCCAAATGTTAAACTGAAAAGCTTGTTTATTTCATTTGAGAAGTAGGTTATATAAAACCCTTGCACAACAAAATTAGAGAACAATCTGCACTAGCCTAAAAAATAGGACTTCCTAAGACTAAGCAACTTATTAACAATATAGAAAATAACTCCTATAAACTAGACATTAACTCCTATAAACTAGACATTAACGTTAACAAATGCTAATTTAGTAATTTTTATTATATTGCTGGTTACTATAAACCTAACATTTCCAACTTATCTTATAATAAATTATTATATCTTTCTAACAGAGAATATTATCATCTTATTATACATGATGATATGATAATAATAAACAATATCATTAAAAATATAATAATAATAATAATAATAATAATAATAATAATAATAATAATAATAATAACTTGAAAATGAATGATTGATTTATGATAAAAAATAAAATTGAAAAATAATACTAAAAAAGCCAGTTTTATTTATAAAAAGAGGTAGTATTTTAAGCTTTTAAATAAATAAACAAATATTCTAAAAGTAATAAATTAATTATTTTTGGTAAAGTTTCACTTATTAACGAAAACAGCAATAACTATTATTCTAAAAATAAAAAAATTACAACAAAAATTAGGTGAGAGAGATTATATTTTATAATATTTTTTTAATAACCATGTTGATTATATTTATGATATATAAATAAATAAATAAAAGTAGATTAATATTATTATTGATTATTGATTGTACTGTTACCATTCTCATCTGCCACTGTCAGAAACTTCTATTCATCGAAGAAATCGGACCCATTTCCAAACCCGAACCCGGTTCCGATTCCGACTCCAACTCCACACTCACTCCATGTTTCTTTCTTCCCCAGTTCGTTTTTGCACCGTGCCGAGTTCAATTTTGTTGTAGCTTATTCAACGACACGTGGCGATCTGAAACTTCTTCAATTTCCAATTTTTGCTCCAAAATCTCAGTTAGTTTTTTTTTTTTTTTAATTTATTGTAAAATCAATTATATCTGTCAGTTTTATTGTTCGTATATTGTTGTTTTTAATTTTTGTAGAGCATAATTTAAATTCTGGGGGGTTTTGTTGCATATATTTTTAATTTTCGATCCCTAATTCCCTTATACTTTTTTTGTTTGTTTTATTGAATTTTGATGAATTTGATTGTGTACTTCAAGTGATTATTTTTTATTTACAAATTGGAATTTTTGGAAATTTTTGGAAATTTTAGTCACGAAGAAGTAAAGTCAAGTTAGGAATTTGCTATAATTTTCTTTTGTCGTTTTCATAGAGCGAAGTTTTTAGTGTTCAATTTGGATTTCTATGCAAGTTTAAAAGCATGAATTAGATATTGATGATTGAAGTTTGTACAATTTAGGATGTAATTTGTGTATGTTGGTTATATGCAAAAAAAATTGTGAGTTTTTGAATATACTAAAATTAGTTATTTTATTTATTGTTTTATTTTTCTTCCTATTTTGTTAGCAGGAAATGAAATGAGGTTTGAAGGGTTTTGTTGGTTTTAGTTTTAGTTTCAAGGGTTTTGTGAAGTTGTTTGGATGGAAGCAAATAAAGGGGAGGCACTTAAAGCGATAGAGAATGCTGAGAAAAGGTTTGCTCATAGAGATTTTGTTGGAGCGAAAAGTTATGCTTTAAAAGCCAAAACATTGTGTCCTGGATTGGAGGGTATATCTCAATTGGTGACCACTTTTGAGGTTTACATTGCCTCTCAAGTCAGTTGTAATGGTGAACTCGATTGGTATTCCATTATGGGTTTAAAGCCTTCGACAAATATAGAAGCTGTGAAGAAACAGTACAAGAAGATGGCCGGGTTGCTTCATCCTGATAACAATAAGTGTGTCGGAGCTGATGGGGCATTTCATCTTGTTTCTGAGGCATGGTCCAGGCTGTCTGGTAGTTATGATATGAAGAGGAATGCACAAGTGGGTGCTGGGCATGGATTTAATCACAATGGGTTGTCTTCCGCACGTGCCTCAGGTGGTAATCAGGAAACTTTTTGGACAATATGTACTTCTTGCAAGGTTCAGTATGAGTATCTGCGCAAGTATATAAATAAGAAACTTTCTTGTAAAAATTGCCGTGGGATTTTCATTGCTGTCGAAACAGCCCCAGCAAACGGTTCGTTCCCTTATTGTCCTTGGTCGTATGGGTCTAGCAGTGGTTATGGAAGCCATTTGTATGATGGAGTTTCATATCCTCCCAGTAATGGCACCTATTTCAACGGCAATGGGGTTACCGGATACCATTCGGCACACGGGTATGAGTTTGTTTCTAATGTTCCATATCAATTGAACTCTGCTGGATATGTTAATCAAAATGGATCATCTACGTCACCTACGTGTCAGGCCAATGGGAATGTAAAGAGGGGAAGACCAAAAGTTAATTCAGAAGCTGATATGAAGCATTGCATGACAGAGACATTGGTTAATATAAACTCAGTTGTATCATTCTCCCAGAATGAACCGCAAGAGGTTAAGCCAAGTAGACCTGAGAAGAAACGGAAAGTTCTTGGAGCCAGTTTAAGAAATGGCCATGAAGGAAAGGGTTCAAAATGTGCTTCAGAGTCAGCATTGGCTAATGTGAATGGAAGCGTTGGGCATGGTCAGAAGCTTTCCAGTACAAGTGAAGTTCCAACCAAACAGTATTCCATGGCACCAGCTTTCGATGCAAGAAAATTGTTGATCGAGAAGGCCAGGACAGAAATAAGGAAAAAACTGGAAGAGATGAAGTTGGCATCTGAAGCTGCAGCTGCAGCTAATGAGAGAAAAAAATCTCAAGCTGATGTTGATCAGGTCGAAGGAGGTGCATACATTAAAGCAGCTCTTAATGTTTCTGATAATCAATTAGAACTTAGGAAAACTGTTCCAGTGACAATTACTGTCCCAGATTCCGACTTTCATGATTTCGATAAAGATAGGTCAGAGCCATGCTTCAAACCAAAGCAAATATGGGCCTTGTATGATGAGGAGGACGGGATGCCCCGCTTGTATTGTCTGGTCCGCGAGGTTGTCTCTGTCAATCCATTCAAGATTAACATTTGTTACTTGAGTTCGAAAACTGATAGTGAGTTTGGCTCAGTAAACTGGCTTGTTTCAGGTTTCACGAAATCCTGTGGAAATTTCAGGGCTATGACCTCTGATATTGTCGACCAAGTTAACATTTTTTCTCATGTTCTAAGCAGGGTGAAGGCCGGTCGAGGCGGTTGTGTTCGCATATATCCCAAATGCGGGGAAATTTGGGCTGTTTACAGAAACTGGTCTACAGATTGGAATCATTCTACACCAGATGAGGTAAGGCATCAGTATGATATGGTGGAGGTACTGGATGATTATTCTGAGGAGCTTGGTCTTTGTGTTAGCCCCCTTATTAAGTTGGATGGATTCAAAACCGTGTACAAGAGGAATGCAGACAAAAGTGCCCTTAGATGGATACCAAGAAGAGAAATGTTGCGTTTTTCGCACCAAGTGCCTTCGTGGTTGTTGAAGGGTGAGGAAGCAAGCAATTTGCCCGACAAGTGTTGGGACCTTGATCCAGCTGCAACTCCCGATGAACTCCTTCATGCTGCTATAGAAACAAACGCTTCGTAGACACGCATGATTGAAACAAGTACTATTTGGAAACATTTAAGCATTCTTCCAACAAAAAAAAGTTTTAGATTTAACTGTACACTATGTCACACACAGTTAGAATCCAATGAGATTTTAAGCACTGACATTTTTACAAAGTGAAATCTTATTTAGCAACATTTCAAGTAACAATTGTTAGAGGTCAAGATAGATTGGCATTGTATTTGCTACTTGTAATTTTATTTCTGGTCAGGATTTACAGGCAAAGAATTATAATCTGAAAGAAATTTTAAAGTTGTAATGTAACAAAAGAGAAAAGAAGCAGTGACTAAAATTATTGCCTTGTATGTGTAAAATTCATCTTCTGTATCCTTTCAAATTTGATACTTTCTATTTCTGCTGTAAATGGACTTGTAAATTGGATGAATAAAAAAACTTCTAGGTAAATGTTGTAATGTTTCTTAATATGAATATATGTAAAAACAATACAACATTCCTTCTAATCAGATTATCTTTCAAAGAAGCAAAATTTAACACCTTTAAAGATGCAAAACAATTATAATAACTTTTGAAGAGGTGTATGTAGATTTGGCTATATTTGTTTTTAAATGGAAAAAAATTCTGTCTAACTCAATGATCAGCAGAGGAGGTGTTTGTGGATTTAATTACATTTGTTTTTAGATGAAATTTTTTATTTAATTCAGTGATTCCATTTTCTTTTCTATGGAGTTTATACTTTTTATTTTTTAGATTATTATCTGCACAGAACTGTAGAAGTTATTTCTAATTAATAATACAAACCATTGTTATTATTGCACATAAAGTTAATAAGAGCATTTTGTTACATAGTTTTCATACCATTCTAATGTAGAAAACAGAAGTAAATCATTTAAATAAACCCATACATTGCCACCATGCACTGTTATTATTATTACATGCATAAAACTCATTAAATTATTCCCTAGCTAGTGGAAAAGCTGAGCTAATGCATTCTTCATCAAGTAGTTTGCAACAATGCCATTTGTTTTCTCTGTTGGATGAAATGAGTCCCAAAATACATATCTAGAAGCATCCATACAACTGAAAATACTAGCCCTGCTGCATGCATATCCCATCTCAAACATTCCAGTAGCACAACACGCCATCGAAGTCACTTGAAACCCTGCGCGCATGAACATATCCCGGAATTTAAACTACTATGTCACGATCATACATCACAAATATTCATACAAAAATATAACAAAGTATCACTAACTTACCATATTGTGCTGGCTTTTTAACAACACTGAGCAAAATATCATACGGATTCGAAAACACCAATCTGATCCCAGGAAGGTCCTTCTTCAGTTTCACGGTCAACTTATTAAGTTTATCATTGAACTCCAACGCAATGTTATTGTAATTAGACACACAATCATTCCCACCAGCAAAATTTGTGGTTCTCTCCAAAGGCAAGCATCCCATTGGAGGTAAACCTCCTAAGGATATTTTCTTAGCACCAAGACCATAAAGTTTATGAACAAAATTTTCAGCTATTCCAGCTAGAAAATTCTGATACTCTCTTGGTGTATATTGAGATGCCCTACCAGGAATTGTGTAGTAATTCTCTAGAAAATCATTTGTTCCTAGACTTATTATGTAAACTGCTTTCGCAATTGTCTCTTTCGCCTTTTTTCCTCCAAGATAGGCACCTAGCTTTTTTTGGTACTCCTTGTAGTACTCCAATTGCTTCCATAATGGTATAACAGACTGAAACAATAATTTGAAATCCGTTAATAATGGTCCTTTTGCAGACATACAATGCAAATATATATTTTGTACCATAAAAAAAATGATGCAATGCATTCATGTAAAAGTGAATTAAATGTGTATATTATATATACCAAGACATCTGAAGTGGCGTTGTCATATCCCGTAGCAGCCGAAGCAAAAGTGACACCAGTAGCAAACTGTGAGATGTTATAGCTAGTGTCCAAGTATGCTGGTATATACGGTTTGATTCCAAATGCTTCTGATAAAAAATCAGTTGCGATTCTTCCGTTGCTGAATCTCCCCGTTGGCTTCCCGCCCATGAAATCGCGTCCATACGGCTGGAAGTTGCTGCGAGCAACAGTTGATATGAAGTTGTTGTTTCCTGCATCCACGGAGGAGTCCCCAAATACTATGATTGCGGGAACCTTAGCACCGGTTGTGAGATCAAGGCATTGAAGTATAAGGATGCACAGAATGTTGGTCCATAAGAGCTTCTTTCCTTGTACACCTTTCATCATTACGTGTAGTAACTAACAAACTAACCAACTCTGAAATGTGACTTGAGTTTTGAGCTTGTGGTGGAATAAATATTGATTTGAAATACCAAAAAGATCTAGTTGATATGAGCTGTGAGACTACTGCACACCGTATGAAAGTGGTTAGAGTTTAAATTTGACTTGTTTTTAGAGTTTAGCAGAGAAAAGAGGAGAATTTACCTTATATGTTTTACAATTCTGAGTCGAAAGGTAAGTAAAGTCTGATTAAGAAATGTTTTCGTCATTTATTACATGGAGGTTATTAACCAATGAGATGGTTAAAAATTGAAATATTAATGAAATTTGGTTTTTAGGTGAGTGAGTTGTTGGGAATCATAACTAATGTTTTTGAAAGCCTATAAGGTGAGAGGAATGTGGTTTTATAGTGGAATGGGCATAGTGCACTTTTTTCTGGTTTGCATATATATGGAATGAGAATAAAGGGCTAAAGTTCCGTGGAAAGTGTTTGCTTGGTAAGTTTTCAGCTTTGGTGATGTAGGTTTTTGAAGAAAATTTAAAGCAAAGGCAAGGTGAGTAGATGAATTTACTATCAGTGTCCCAAACACAAAGTACTTTACACATTAGAGGACCACATAGGCCAAAAATTTGTACTCTTTGAATTTATTGATGTGTCAATAAATAGTTCACGCGTTTATTGTATGAATAAGGTTCTTCGCAATTTTTGAGTATTTTATAAATAATTGAGAGATAAAGAAATAATGAAATGCACAAACAATCTAAGGAAGGACAATATAAAAGACATTTATTGTAATATTGGCACGTGCCAAAGTAGTCCAATCTAAATACACTATAAAAACCTGCATTTTAGAAATAATTTGGCTCAAATGTTAGTTCAATTAAAGAAGACTAACATGGAAACATAAGCTAAAGGGGATGTCGTGCCGTGGCGAGGAAACAATCATTGACGTCATCTACGAGATAAGCATGTCTTAAAATGAGGATTATGAAAAGCCACGCACACTTCCTCTTCCTCTGATATGCATATCGAAAACATATTTGACTCAGGCTAATATCTATCTTGGTTAACACATACACGTATGCCGAACATCATCTATCCTAACCTGGTTGAAATAGTTAAGATTCGAATGTAATGGCGCAACAAAAATTATTACTTGTAAAGCAAGTAACACAAAATTAGAAAACAAGAAAAATGAGAAAAAAAAAGGGAAATGAATTGCTCAAAAATCTTTTTTACTTAAGCTTTACAAAAACTTATGAATTACATTACGTAAAAAACATAGATATGGCTGATTTTATAATTGTTTGTGATTCAAGTAACTTACTTGAAGCTAACCGATTTAACTAACTGCCTAATCAACTCCTAGTTAGTTATAACCCTCATTTAAAAATAAAATAGATAATCTCCCTATAATTTTAAATGTTTACAAGTCTTAGTTGACTCTTCAAATGTTCAAAACTTTCAATCTTCAAAGTTTTTGTAAAGTCATATGTCAATTGCTCATTTGAAGGGAAATGTATGATTTCTATCACGCCTTTCATCATCTGTTCCCTAATGAAATGAATTTTTTTCTCAATATGCTTGCTCCTTCCATGTGAAATTGGATTCTTTGGCAAACTTATTGCAAATTTGTTATCAATCATCAACTTCATAGTCTTTTGCGCTTCACATCTTAGTTCCTTCAACAAAGATTCAAATCAAATTGATTAACATGAGACAAATGATCATGTTATATATTCAACATCAACGAGGACAATGCAGTGACTGGATTCTTTTTTGTAGACTGATAGATGATTGTCTTATTGTATAAGAATACATAGCCATATGTACTTCTCCTATCAGTTCTGTCTCCGTACCAATCAACACCACTATAGCCAATCAAGCTTGTTATCTTTTCACTCACAGTAGTTGAAATTCAAACCTAACTTCATGGTTTCTATGAGATGCCTAAGAATTTTCTTTACAAATACTAGGTGATACTTCTTTGGCATGCTTATAAATCTACTCACTGTACTTACTAAATAACATATATCTGACATGTTATTGCATAAGTATCTTAATGAGTCAACCATTTGTTTATCCAATGTAGGGCCTACCTCTTATTCACCTTCAACTCGTCTAGCTTAGTATTTGTCTCTGAAGGACTTGTGACTGCTCTACACTCGACATCTCATATGTTTCAACTAGATCCTTAACATACTTTTGTTAATGCATGATCATTCCCTCTTTTATCTTCACAAATTCCATACCAAGGAAATATGATAGGCTACCTAGGTATGTCATTTCAAATTATTCATTTATTTGAGCCTTTAGATTCTCTAAAGCACGTGAATGATTGTCTGTAATAAGCAAATCATCTACATATAGGTAAATCATCCCAATGCCTTCTCCATTTGATTACAACACACATACACCATACTCCACATTACATTTCTTGTATCCCAAGTTAACAAGAAATTGGTCAATTATTTCATTACAAGCTCCTAAATCTTGATTCAAGCCATATAAGACCTTGTGTAACTTGTATAACATATTTTCCTTTTGAACTAGTACAATTAGTCTTCTATGAACATCAACCCCTTGATGTTCATTGTCTCTTCCTAATTCTAATGACTTTCTATTTAGGACTCCCTCTAAATATGAGAATCCTTCTCACTTTCTCTCAACCACTAATCCCAAGTGATCAACTTTAATAACAAAAATATTGAATGTTGAATTTACAACTCAATTAAGACAAACCAATAACTATACCAAGTTACTAAAACATAGAGTGGTGTACACAAACATGTTGAATTTACAACTCAATTAAGACAAACTAACAATTATGTCAAGTTACTGAAGCAATAATGTACAACAAATAGATTCAACACCAATCTTTATGAATTTATTAGCGTGGAATACAAGAAACAAAATACTCACAAATCCTAGGCACCAAGAACTCAATCTTGCACTTAAAACTCACACCTAAACATGAGAATTGAGTCTCCTTATATAACAATGCATTCTAGGTTTTTTCTCCTTGGATATTTGAATTAAATCCGTCTAGAATAATAGAGAATCTTGTTGGATTTGACATGATCCATAAAAATCTTCAAAATATATGATTTTTTATATTCAAATTTAAATTTAAATTTCCATTTAAATCTGATTTGATCTTCTACAGCTGTCAAACAAATCAAACAAACATTGCTAAATAATCTGCAGTAAATCTGATTAATTCAATCAAAATTTATATATCAAACAACATCTATCATGGGCTACTGACCAGGGCCAGATGTTGCACTGCACACATGCTGGAACATCGTGTTCCACATGTTACACTTGTACATCCAAATTAACTATTCTTTATGAATTGTAGATCTTCTTTGTAGAGTGAATTTTGAATAGAATAATTCTAAACCCTACAATACCATCTCTCTGTTGTAGAGAGATCATATATTGCAACACACATGTCAGAACATCGTGTTCCACTTGTGTCCTTTCTGCACCAGAAAAAACTTAAACATACTCCATATTATTTTGTATAATGCAGTCAATCTAAAAGGAACAACAATTTATGCCATGTTTTTGTGGGAACCTTCTCGCCGTCAATCTTTCTTCGTGTTTTAAAACTATGTCGTTTGGATTAAGATTAGTCTTGTACATTCATATCACATTAATAGTTTTCTTCTTCTCACCTCAACAATGTCGTTACCCACACTAGCCTGGGCATTCGCATTATCACCTGGCTCTGGGGCATTAAGATCATAAATCCAATTGCCTCTCACTCACACATCAGTGCGTGCAACGACAATGAATTGTAAATGGCTTACGTAAACGCATCGAAATAAAACATCAATGTATCGAAACAAAAATTAAGCGGTATAACGATACATAAATTGTGTCGATCTTATATGCTTTTTAATCAGTTGTTTCCTTTGATTGTGATCGGATCTTCTAATAGTTGTTGCTTCGTCATCTGCTTTGGAAAATGTTGTGTGATGCTCGATTGTGAATGATGTTTATGTATGGAGGTTTGAGGGTGATTTCGTGGTGCAAGATACCACCAGAGTTGAGGTGGTGCAATGAGTATGGTTGTGTTTAGATTGGACTTTTATAAAATAAAGAATAAAAGGTGGTGGTTATTACAGTGGCGAGAAGGCGATGAAACAACGAGAGATGAAGGGGCGTGTCTGGCTGAGCAAGGTGGCGTTGATGGTTGTGATGTGGAGCTGCTGAAAACGCGATTGTGGAGAGTGGAAGTGAGTTAGTGAGTGTGAAGTGGTGGAACAAAAAGTTTTAATGGTGGGGAGTTGGTGCATTGGCAGTGTAGTAAGGTGGGTATTGAGTTTAGGATCATAGAGGTTTTTCGGTGGGAATGTGTAGAAGAAGAAGGCATGTTAAAACCATGAGAGACAAAGGGAGGAAACCAAAAAAATAAGAGGATAAGTAAAATGGATTCTCCTCCTCCTGCAAAATCAATTGACTTTTTCCAAAATGGAGAGAAAGGTTGTCCTTTTCATAATGAATTAGTGGTTGATGCATTTTGTAACACCCCACTTTACCCCATACGCGTATTATAAGGCATATACGGAGATAATTCATAAAATATATCAGAGTTCTCCAAATCAGTGGGATATCACACTAAGTCACTTCATTCAATTTTAACAAAACCAATACCATCTAGTTTCAATTAAACAGCGAATAAAATTCAATTCTTCAGATACAATTTTCCATCAAATAAGAGGTCATACATCCTTAGTCCAACAAATAAAGATACGTAACAATAAATAAATAAAATAGTCAAATAACAACGTAATTCCGTCATCCCACGTTACGTATCAGAGCGACTTCTAAGACTCGATCAAATAGCAACACACTCCAAGCACTACTCAGGTACTTGGTCATCTGTACTCCCAAGAGAGCACAGACACAACAACAGAAAAGAGGTGAGAACTACATCCAACAAATAAACGGTGAAATACACATGCTAAGAGTAGTCACACACCATGCATACAATCAT